ATGTCATTCTCCTGCGCCCAGGCCAAGCAGGTCACAGGGTAATTGCCCAGCTGCCTGCTGGGATAGGCCCACCCTGCTCTTCTCCCTCCAGGTTCATTTTTCATTTTGATTGAGTCATGATGGCTTAGTGCCACAAAACATCTGAGGATATGCCTTGTAGGGAAAAGGTCATAACGATCTCCAACGGCCTCCCCATCCCTAAAATCCAGGACTCAGTTTCATGGTCTCTTTTGTAAAAGATGGGCAAGCAGGGCTGGTTGCAGGGTTAAATCTTCCTCTGTGAATGTCAGGAGCCAAACCCCCATCGTGCTAGCTGGGGAGCTGCCTGGCTGCCTTGCTGCAACTGAGGTGGCACAGCTTGCTTCAGCTTTGAAGTGTGAAAACCGAATAAAGGTTGGGAAAGGGAAGAGACGGAGGCTGCACTGCCTTCTTGGAGCACGAAGAGACACACCCAGCCCTTTGCACTGAATGCAGAATCTTTTCCCATCCCCTTACTAGTCCCCTGTCCTCACAGCCACCCCAGAGAATTGTGACTTGAGCAGAAGCCGGCTTGGCTGCTTGACCCATCCCTGGAGCTTTTCTATGGAGACTGGTGGGCAGGTGCTATGAACTTCTCTGTTTGGGGAAGAGACCAAGCAGATGCTCACCCTCCAACTATATGTGTGTCTTGCTAATCTGCCCATGACAGCAAGGTGGGGACACACACACACACACACACACACACACACACACACACACACACACACGCTTGCATACCCAGACCTGCCTCTGATTTGCCCTGGCACCCTGAGCAATTGACTCTATTTACTGTCTACCCACTCTATGTCCCAGGGAACATTTTAGAAATTCTAATACAGGAGGCTGAGAAAGGAAAATATTGGCTTCTACAGTACAAACATCTCTGTCCTGAAAGAAAATGTTAATTTTCCCCTAAATCAAATGTTGACCGATATCACTGCTCCCGAAGATGGATCAGGGTGGGAGAAGTTCTGTGCTCCAGGGTATGGATATTGGGGCTGGAGTCTCTCCTCCGAAATGCTAGCTGGTTTGGAATCTAAACAGGTTTGGCCTGGAGGTTTTATCAATTGTTCCAGTTTGTTTTCCAAAAGCTGCTCGCTCTGGGATCCTCTTTTGATCAAAGGAGCAGGGGAACAGGGCGCCCCTCTGTGGAATGTACTGTTTTTTTGCCTGATGCCTATATCAACATCTATAATGATTCAGGCACTGCTTACCTCTGCCAAGGGTGCAGGGTTTTAACTGGAGAGGTGGGAGGGGGGAAAAAGGCTGGGGGTGTGGAGGAAAGATGGCATCTACAGACAGAGGGGACTTTCCAGTGCTAGGCAGTTCACCTGCCCTTTTCCCCGCTGCTCCCAGAAGAAGCCATCTGAGTATTCTTTGTTCAACACCTATGTTTTAAAAATTCCGAAGTAAGTTCCCCCACTCTGTCCCTCTAACAAGTCACACATACACACACACACACACACACACCATTTTAA